ACTCTTTAAAGACAGAAACGTTCACTGGGAAGCGCAGGAAACTTCATAAGTTAAATTTTCATTAGGCTTGGATGTTTTTGAACATATTTGCACTAGTAAGCGGCCACTATGTGTATAATTATGAATTGATTGCTTCTACTCTCTTTCATTTTCGCCGAAAATTTTGTATACTACATCTACTTTAATGTGCTGACTGGCGCATGACCTATCCAAGGACATGGCATCAAAAGACTCGAACTTTTTGTACAGACAGGCAGACTCAGACGATACAAACTTTGCCGCAGTTGAAGGTGTGCCCAATATCGAGGGTGTGCATGACGAGTTGAGACAGATGATCTCGCTTCCCAACTGTCGGCTGATGTACGTGAATGAGTATAGAGGCAGATTTTCCAAGTTGGTCACAATATCTGCATTCACGGGCATCGTAGTGGAGCTTGTAGACGACTGACTTCTTATCAAAATAGCTGAAGGTTATCCTAAAGGTAAAGGCAATGCGTTTCCTCTCGATGGAGCAGACTCGTGACTCTGATCCGCTTGAGATAGATAGGACGGTTGATTGCCCATTTTAAAGTCACTTCTGCATATTTTTCTTTGCATTAACGGTTCGTATAATGTTCCGTCAATCTTTAACTGTACGAGAACATCCATAAATGAGAGTTGATTGTCAACTTCCTTCTCATGTGTTTATTTACTGTCCAGCATGGTTGATTTCTTTTTGCCGTGGAGTGTTTCCACTTGGTCCTTTTTAACGATAACAAATGTTCAGAAGAAGAAAATGCAATCACTGGAACAAGGGTGATCGCACCTTCTTCTGAACTGCTACCTGGAACTCGCATATGTACTTCTATTGATAACAGATGCGTCGTCTACATTTTTTGCCCACCACTAAAGGTTAATTGATAGAAGAGCTTTAGCTTCTAGCTTCTGCATTACCACCTCGACAAGAAAGTCAGTTAAAGATGACCCCATTAAGAGCTCTTTTTAATTATTGATAGTACTGGTGGTCGAAGAAAAAATGGTCTCTAAACAACGGCCTGAGTTCAAGTAAGACGGCTGCGGGGACATCAGTGTTGTAGGACTTTCGACATTCTTCTGTGTATTTCCTTGATAAATCTACCGATATGGATGTGAACAAAGAAATAATCTCAAAGCTCACGGGTGTAAATTGTGGTTCCCCTCAGTTTCTCTAAAAACTTAATAGAGTTCTGAATGGAAGTTTTAAAATCCCTCATAAGTAGATGAGGTTGATGAAATAGTTACTTGAACATTTTTACTCGGGTGTATCGATTAATGGTACTATCGGTTGCAGTAGGACTTCAAGTTTATAAACTGCTTGCAGTCCATAGGTTGTAGAGATGATTATTTCGGGTTACTTCAGGCATTTTGCACTACCTCCTGAAATTTGCTTCATCTCTGTAAGACGATTCAGTACTTATAGATGGATGAAGTGTGTGCCTTGATATGATCCGTATGAAAAAGCTTATACGTTATGGTTTTTTCTTATAGGGACAGCATCATCCCATTCGCTAGTTTTTTTAAAGTTTGCGGGTTTGTAATACGCACCTATATGTAGTTCACTTCACAGGTGCTGAACAACTAATCATTTGATAATCTCAGCCTGAAATATTGGGAAATAAGCGAATATGTTTGCACGATAAAAGACTCCTACGTACTTAGACAAACTGATTACCTTAGAGAAGCTAAACGAAAATGCCAAAAGAATATCATTGCATTTCCAGTAGTTCGTAGTTTGCATCCGGTAAAATAATTTCATTTCCTGGAAAATTTTCATGCAAGTAAATAGTAGACACATTTGCAACCGAAGTGGATCAAGGGTTAAAAACAATAATAAAAGCTTTAATCACAAGAGCTAAGGTTCAGTCTGCAGCAAAATATATTCACGCACACAATTAAGTTTACTGATATAATTGACTAAGTCTAGAAGGCATTCAATTCAATGCCTTCTTTCTATGATATGATTGCGTGTTGTCAAAATATTGTTCCAGTAGGCATATATTTGATATTACTGACTAGTTTTTGGATTGAGATGCTCACAAGGGTCGTTATAAAACCCATTTTGTGAGTCAGTGCTTTTGATACAGAATAAAAACTGAAAGATTTGCATGAGACATGTTATAACCAAAGCACCATCGTTAGTGAGATACTGCAGAAGTGTCCGCTATATTTCAACGGCCGAGGACTTGGGTGTTTGGAATACAAATGTCACAGTGAAATTTTGGACTAAAATTGATCAAATAGTCTGCATTTTAGTAACCGGGTTCCTGGTTTTAACTCAGACGTCAATTTTAAATAAATCTGAACATCTTTCTATCTTTGAAACAGGCCTACTTGGCGATAGGATGATAAATCCAGTGAATTTATAGAAACAAACTTCACCATGCCTAGAGAACACTAGTAATGAATCACATATTCCAAGGTATTAGTACATGGAAAGGGAAAACATTCAAAGAAAAAAAATATAGTTTGAAACTTAAACGCAAAGCAGCGAAATGGGCCACATGGCAGTTGACTGAAGCCTTATGCTGACCTTTTGCAATGAATCCATTATTTGTTGAGCGACGAATACAATAAGCTCCTCCAGGTCTTCATAACTGGGAAAGAATTTCACGCGCTGATTTTCAAATGTCAAGTACATTTTTAGAACAGGTAGACGTTCCTTGTGATCTTCGTCAAAGAGATCTACCCAAGACTGAAGGTTCCTTCCAAGAAATAATTTTATCTAAAATAATAGAGTGCAAGATATGAAAATACCTGATTTGACAGAACGACCGAAGAACAATTGAAGAAAGCGGAGAGCATATCGGACCGTAACGGCGGAATGGCATTTTTTCCGGAAAAGAATGAACATACTTTTGGAAACCACCTAGATTCTTTTATACGTTTTTTTCGGCGCTTACTTATTCATCAACATAACACTGTTGGTCGTGCATTCAGTTTGAACGTTTGTTTTGACTACTTCGAAATTTACGGAACCCATTTCGCTGTACGTGTAAAGGGAGTTAAATAAATCACATGCACTACCGAAATTTATTAACCTCCACAAGGTTCAGCGGGGCGAAGAAGCGTTGACAAGTATCTAAAATCTTCCCCATGTGTGGATAAAGCAACATAAGCCTTTGACTGAGACGCCTCTTATTTCTTGTATAAGCCTTATGCCAGGCATTTGCAAAATTCATCCCACTAAGTAAAAATAAATTATCGGAAATATGTAGTCACATTGGTTCGAGAACAGGAGGGGTCAGGTCTTCCATTTCCAAACCAGGAATACCTGGGTTTTTGAGAGATTGCTGTAAAAGGGATTTTTGCATGCTGTTGTAAAAATTTTCTTGAATTTCCACAAGAACTTGATTCAGTTCATTCTCTTTTGCAACGCGCAGTTTGTCTGGAATTTTTTCCAAAATGTTATTCAACCAGCTATCCTGAATAGGCGGCATGAAACTGCCCTGCACACACTCCTTCATTTTTTCGTATGCGACCTTTTAATAAAATATAATGGATAAAGCCGGAAATACTCTCAGTTTCTTCGTTTTACTCATCATCTAAGATAAAAATTATTATAATTATTTTGTATTACTGACGACGGCAGTTCGGGTGGTGGCTTTTCCCTCTCTTTAATTAATTTCTCCCTCTCAACAATAGCATCATTGGATAATCTTGCACGCATTATCCTGATGAAAGACATCAGAAATAAATATATTCTACATAATGCGACGAAATTTTTCTTCACGAGCTTTAGAAATTGTGTAGTTTAGCATTTGTTGGAGTTTCGGATCTTTTTCCTTTGCTAGAATGGCCGCTTTAACTTCCTCAATTGGCGGCAGTTTGTCCAGTGCATTGCGCACATTGTTAGTGTTCATTTTTTTTTAATTTCAAAATACGTTATGCATAAGTATCTGCTTGAATCATCCGCTTAATTTTTAACATGGTGATTGGACAACATTAGGCTCAACTTTCAAGGCCTTCACAAGTCCACGCAAATTTGGTTCAAATAAGAATACACTACCTACGATTTTTTAAAATTCTCTGTGCACAAATATACACTGACACGAGCTACAACTCTAATAACAAAAGATAAGGGAGCCAACTGCATGGACAACTAATGATCATCCAGACCCTGTATAAGGGTGAGAATTAAAGCAACAGCTATAGAGGGGAGGCAAAGTTAGGAATACGACGATATATTGTTCAAAATGATAAAACGGGCTGAATATTTTTTTTTAATCAGTCGTCATACTTCAACCTAATCATTAAGCGAAGGCAAAACGGCAAAGCAGTGGCTGCCCTAATTCGTCATGGGACCAGTTGATATATAAATAGTCAAATATAGACAGTCAAAAGATAGATAGATAGTCAAAATAGTCAGGCCCATACGATCATAAAGGAAAACTCGTTAAAATGCGGTCCTATGTTTTACTTACCGAGTCATCAGATAGAAAAATGTCTCCAGTTGGTTAATTGGTATTTTTGCGAAAAAGGCACAGTAACCCTGCTTGTGTTCGTTCTACGTTTACTTTCTGTAATTTAAGGAGTTTGAAAACGTATATAGTGCAGTATATTAAATAAATGCTCATTATCCTGTCGCTGGGGTTTCAGAAGACCCGAGTTTCAAATCTGTTCTAGGTCCGTCCCTACAGAACGGAAAGTTTTTTAGACTATTACACTTTTTTCGACACTGCCAGTATCAAAATAGCTTTTTCTTTGTTTATGGAAGTAGCATAGGATGAGGCTGAGTATACTCGATATATAAACTGCGGTGAAGATGGGACTTATCAAGGGATGCATGGTGTAATGTTGGTAGGTCATCCACACGCCTCACACAGGTGGTAATTATTTAGTAGGGTCCTGCCTTGTCACGCAATTCTCAAACATGATTCTCTAAAGAAAAAGGTGCCTAGCGGTAAAAGTCAGGTAATTGCCTCGATCAAAATTCTAAAGCAGATGATAGTATCCGATATGCGTGCGTGCCCACACGTGCAGTCATTCTCTTCCGTCCAATTCTCCCCTCACGCCTGTAGGCAGCCGCGGATAAGTATTGCCATCATCCGCCTGAAGGAAATCTTAATTCACCATATTTATTCAGTATGAAAGATGGATAGACAGAACCTTTTAAAACCCCATGTACGCGGAACTCGACCCCCTCATCAGCATCACTTTCTTCCGCCTTCCGACGCGACAAAAGACACCGTGGACGCATTCCCGCTTGCGGTACTCGTGCCATTAGGCCTATGTTTTCGTTTCAATATAAGACCGATACGAAATATTACTGCCGAAAGCAAGTTACAATCCGAAATTGCGAATAGAACCTCGCAGAATGTCAGTAGGTAAGTGACTACCGGGTCAAGTAAACATTGTCCCACTGAATATAATTCCCGGCCGTCTAGACTGCACCGATCAATAAGTACAGGCCCAACTGATACTTCCATCACGGAGGTTCTGAGGTACTAACTACAGAACACAACCTACTCCATTGTGCTTAATGGTCTTGATTGCGCATGTCCCAAACACGAACATTAGTATGAAGTTTACGACGTCTGAACGTGCAAGCTATTTGGTGAGAAGAACACGCAGCACATATATA